GAAGGAGGTGTACTTCTGCTGGGCTCTGAGGGCCCAGAGGGGTTTGAAAGGGTCAGGCCAAACGGGGTGACAAGGATGTGTGTCTCAGAGCAGGAAGCATCATGGATGTGTGAGGTCATACCAGGTGGCCGGTGGGAGCCTAGACTGTAGGGGCCCCAGAGCCAGGCTGAAGGCACGTCCGTTCACTGAATGCCCACTAGGAGATGGAAATGCAGGAAAAAGTATGCTCATTTCAAATGTCAAATCCTGTCTCTCTCACTGCTGCAGGAGATCAGGGGCTGGCAGATTAATAGCCTAAGAGCCAGAAATCTGTTTTTCTAAGTAAAGTTTTATTGGAACACAGGCCCACTCATTTGTTTATGTTTTTTTTTTTTATGGTACAGGGTTAGAGTTGAGTAGTTGTGGCAGAGACTATGTGTACCCACAATGCCTAAATCATTTACTTTTTGCCCTTTTTGGAAAAAGCTTACTGACTAGATGGCTGAGTCAGGCAAGTCTGAGCCCTGTACTTGCTGTGTGAGCTTGGGCAAATCACCTGCCCTCTCTGAGCCTGCCCAGCCAACTCCTAAGGGTTGCAATGAAGCTCACAGGTGATGGCTGCAAAAATGTTTTGTAAACTGTAAAGTGCAGTGCCCTATCACCAGCCCAGTGCCCAACAGGCACTAAAGTCTGCTTATGGGTGAACAAGAAGGCGGTCATGATGTAGGCCTGCCAGGACCCCAGCTGCTGATGCTGCCAGGACTGCAAGGAGGCAGCATCTGGGTCCTAGATGCTGAATGCATCATTGTCCACTCTCACGCAGACTTGGCAGGTTTTAGCATAAATTAAAATTCTTGTGGGGAGTCACCTTATATGTGGTGCCACTTTATAGCCAAGTCATTATGGTAATTTGCAAAGCTCTCTGGTGTGTAACTAGAGCTGTTTGCTTCAAATTTGTTGGCTGTGACCTCATCCAGGCTGCCCCATCCTGCATATCCCCAAGTTTGGGGGTTTGTCCTTCTGAGTCTAGCCTCAGAGTCATCCAGACCTGGGGACAGCATGCTTCTCTTACAGGTCCCCATCTCCCTGGTCCAGGCTCAAGGAGAAATAAAAGAAATAATTATCATCACATTACTTTTCAAGCACTAACTGTGAGCTAGGCCCCATGCCAAATGCATTGTGTTCATACTCTCAGTTGTCACCTCAACCTTGGGAGTTAGGTGTTAGCACCATTTTACAGACAAGAAAATGAAGGCTTGATGAGGAAAACAAACCAAATTCTTACGTAGCTTCCAAAATGCCAATCCAGGCCCTGCTATGGATTTGCTATGTGACTGGGGCAGGCCCTTTCCTTCTCTGAGCCTCAGCTTCTTATCTATTAGTGAAATAGATGACCAGCCAGTCCCAACTCTGACATTCTAGGATTTCTCACTAACTTGTAAAAGTAAACACAGGACTCCATCACTATGTAAGTCTCCAAAGGAGCTTCATTTGCATGGGGAAAGCCAGGCTGAAGGTCTGCTCTTGGCCCCTGTGGCACAGAGTGAGACACGGTTGCTCATGCCAAATGCTTTCCAAGGTACCCCTGCTCCCCCGGCTTTCCCAGGGAAGGATCCATCCATGTTCTCTGGAGATAGAGAGTGAGCAGGAGTGGACCTCCCCCATCTGGGTCTTGTGAAGCCACTGGGGACAGGGAGGCAATATAACAAGACAGGAGGCAGTGCCTACATCTTTCCTGGGAAATGTGGGCCCGTGATGGGCAGCAGTGAGAGTCTCCCCATCTTTCTAGTGACAGCAGCATTTCTGTGACATGTGTTGCAGCGGTGGGTTTCACATTCAGCTTCTGAGACAGCAGGTATCCCGGGGCAGAGTCTAGGCTTTGAGAGATCTAGCTTTGGGCCCTGGCAATGCTAGCAAGTGCTATATGACCTTGGGTGGCCACTTGCTGGTTCTGGTGCTCAGTGTCCCTCTGCAAGGTTGGGAGGTTGATGTTTCCACCCAGAGTGCTGTGAGGGTCCTGGCAGGCAAGGGCTTGAATGAGCCTAGAGCACTAAGTGGCACCATACCATGACTTGAGTGGCGCCTCCCTCCCTCACTCCTTCCCTCTCTCCCTCCCTCCCTCCTTCCCTCCTTCCTTCCCTCCCTCCCTCGCTCTCTCCCAAAGCTGGCTTGTTTATTCATTGCAGGAAAACCTTTTACTGTATCCAGAGGAGAAGAAGCTAACAGACCCTTAGTTTGTTGGGTAAAGACTGTTTCTTCCCATAGAAGAGATAGGTTTGATCGCCACTCAGCCCCTTCTTTCCTGTGTGACCTTGGCAAACTGCTTGATCCCTCTGAGCCTTTGTGTCCTCCTCTGTTGATGGAGTGGGCTTACCCTCCTGGCAGAATTATTGCAAAGATTAAAGCTTAGGCATTATGATGGTTCTTGTATTTCCCCAGAGGCTCTCCAACATGACCCTCATTGGAGTCAAAGGTATGGACACTGTTTTAGGGATCTCTGGTTACTCAGCTGTTGACCAAGAGGCCGCAGGATGTGGGCTTTGAAGTCTGGGAGATCTAGGTTTGAACTGTGGCCCTGCCTCTTACAGGCCCCCAAGTCTGCTCCAAGGCACAGAATCTCTCTCTAAACCTTGCCTTTCTTATATGGAAAATGGCTGTCCTGCCCCTGCCCCACAGAGATGGTCCCTTGAAGGGCTTGATGGGTGAGGGCTTGGTGAGTGCTGGCTCTCCACCCTTTCTAGGGCCCACCTTCCCCAACTGCACACCGCCTCCTAAGTGCAGGAGGGGAGAAGTAACCTGAGGCCCCCGAGGGGGCTGGTGAGTCCTGGAAGGAAGCTCTGAACCGCACCCCCGTTAGAGACTCTGGGAGAAAGACCCCGGTGAAACTGCCCCGTGTGATGATTAAGCTCTCTCTGCTCCAAGTGCTATTAATGGTCATAAAATTATCCACAGTTTTCTGAGGCCCAGTCCCAGGGTTTGCCTCAATGGGACAATAAAACTGCATGCAGAAACGATTTGGAAAAGGCAAAGACGGCCAAGCAGAGACGGAGTTAAACGAGCGACAGCCTGCTCTCATTAACTCAGGCCATTCACATTTGTTACCAGGGATTTCATTTTAATTAAAAAACAACCCAGTTATTAAAACATAAGCTTGTGAGGAGCTGGCCGGGCAGCAGCCAGGGCCAGTGGGAACAACAGTTCCTCGCAGCAGGATGGGCCAGGGCTGGGGCTGGGGTTGGGCCTGGGAAGCCAAGTCCTCTCCACAGGCTTGCGTGTGGCTGGGAACCTGGAGGCTCCCTTCTGAGCACCTCACTTGCCCTGGGACCTTGCAAGCATTGCATGCTCATCTGCAGACTGGCACATGCTCGGCAAGCTACACCTGGTACCCGTCCAGAGCTGTGGCATGTGGCGAGTTAGCACTGAGTGCCCAGCATCAGCACAGGGATCATTGTGTGCCAAAGGAACTGCCTTGGGGGCAGGCTAGAATTAGGGTTGAAGGACAAGGATCCTTGTGGGTGGGTTCTCTAAAAGGCTCTTCTTATTACATAGCAACTAAGATGTGGTGTTTGGGTCTGACAGACCCAATCCGGAAATCCAACTCAGAGGCTTCCTAGCTGTGTGTTCTTGGGTGAGTAATTGAACCTCCCCATGCCTCTGTTTTCTCCTCTGTAAAATGGGGATAGTGAGACTCAGGCCTCCTCCGGACGGCAGTGGGGATGCTAGGATGAGATAGTGGTGTGGTCCCCGGCCCTGGTCCTGCACAGGCTGCTCGGCAAACGCTGCTCTAGCTGATGTCCTTTTCTTCATGTTAAGGAGCTAATCGTGTTCAGGGACCAGGTTTTTTTTACATCTTAATAGTTTATCTTTCTTGGTGTCGGGCATACTTGGCCTGTCGATCATGTTTTATTGTATCTGCAGGGCACTTTGTACTTTTTGAAGTGCTGTTTAACAATAAGAACAATTCTTGGTGCATCCGCTAGGTTTCAGCACTGTGCTAGGGACTTCACACCTCTGTTCTCAAAGCCTCACAGCATCACTGGGGAGCGGGCAAGACTGGCCCCATCTTACATGGGGGAAGCAGGGTCTGCCACACGCAGGGATTTGTCTGAGTTATGGAATTGGTTTGGGGCAGAGTAGGGGCTCACATCGAGGTCTCTCAGCCCCCCAAATTCAAGTCCTTTCCTCCCTAGCTTCACTCTGTGAATGAGAGGACAGAAAGTGTAAGATGGAGTTTCGAGGTGTGTATCCCTCATCCGTAGATGAGAAAACTGAGGCCCAGAGAGGGGAAGGAGCTTAGAACAAGCAAGCCTGACTCTTTGGTTACACCTTATGTGGTTTTTCGGCACTGTCATGTCAACTGCTTCAGTTAATCTTCCTAGAAACCCACTAGCAGGGCAAGGCAGGGCATGAGACAGGCATGGAAGAATCATGAGTGATAACGAGGTTTGAGTAATTGCATGCTGTGTTTCTACAGTGTAACACAATTTGGAAGACAATGTAGACTGAGCTTTGGTGTTAGCAGTACCAGATGCTGTGTAGTGAGCGCCTACTCCTTCACATCCACATGTCAGCGCCGCTCCTTCTGGCCTGTGGGCAGCAGTGTAGGGCAGCCACCTGCCCCAGCTGGTGCTCTCACACCTTGCCCCGGCAGCACTGTGTGGTTAACGTGAGGATAATGCACTGCACGCTCCAAGAGACTGGGAGTTTCTTTTGTTTGTCAGTGTTTCCTGCGGCCAGAGCAGTGTCTATATACAGGAGGTGTCCAGCGTTTGTGTAACAGTCATTTAACCGCCAGAGCACCAGCATCCCCCTCTGAGAATGGAGGATTTGATGATCAATCCTGCTGGTGCTTGTGGGAATTAGACGAGATATCCTGGTACCTGGCATGCAGCAGGGATGTGTGAGTGTTGGCTCTGGGTGCCCTGTCCCTTGCCGTACCCCAGGGACCGCCCTTTCCCCGCATCCCTCTGCAGGCTGCCCCCACTCACTGTGCCCCTCTCTCCCTGTCTTTCTCTGCCTAGTGAATGGGAGCTACGGCCACTGCACGCCGGGCTCGGAGAAGAGCCTGCTGGACCTGGATCTTGCTGAGGGCCCCAGCCCCACCTGCTGCCAGGGCCTGTTTCTCCCTGCAGGAAGCCCACCGCCCCGGGCTCACCCCCAAGCCTGTGAGAGGCTGCTGCATTTCCCCCACCCTAACAGGTAGGTGCCGCCAGCTGCTTTCTGTGGATACTCCCGGGAGGCCCCAGGACCAAGGGCCTCAGGCCTTATCTCCTCTGCTTAGCTGGTGGAACACCTGGGGAAATGGAAGCACGAGGGGGCCCCGTAGCTGAGAAGCAGCTGCCTGGCCTAGACTCTGCACCTCCTGCTTTGCCTTCTGAGAGACACAAGGATGGTTCATTGAGGTGTTTCCCTGTCAAACAAGCAGATGGAGCTTTTCACAGAGAATCAATCATTTCAGAACAGGAAGATTCACGGGTAGGTTGGGGAGGGAAAGCCCAGCTCTGAGCTTATACAGTGTCAAACCTCAAACTGCTGATAGGGCAGAGAGGGATTTCTCTGCAATGCCATTTCTGCCCCAGGAGACCATGGCCCACAGAGCCCTGCTGGGAAACTCTCCACTCAGCGCCTGCACCCTTCCAGTGCCTGCTGCCTCTCAAGGGATGCCTGACATCAGGGTGCACACTGGGCTGAGACCTGCCTCCTACAGCTTCTCCCAGGGTCTCAGCTGTGCCTTTGTCTCAGCCTGTTTTCTGTTGCATATGACAGAATACCTGGCCCTGGTTAATTCATAAAGAAAGGAAACTTATTTTTTACAGTTTTGGAGGCTGAGTCCAAGATTGAGGGGCTGCATCTGGTGAGGTCCTTCTTGCTGGCAGGGCCTCTTCGGGGTCCCGAGGTGGCTAAGCACGCTAGCTCAGGTCTCGCTCATCTTATAAAGCCACGAGTCCCACACCCATGATCATCCATTAGCTCATGAGTGGATTCATCCATACATGAGGCAGAGCCCTCATGACCCAACCCACTTACCTTTTAAAGGCCCTACCTCTCCACACTGCCACATTGGGGATTGAGTTTTAGCATGAGTTTGGGAGGGAACAGATGTTCAAACCATAGCCGCCTTGGTACCCTCTGGTTTGCTGACAGCAGGTCAGTCACAGACAGGCCTCTGTGCATACCAGCTCGGCCCCAGCCCCTCACCCGCTGCCTGGGGCTGCTGGCCTGAGGCCTGCTTCACAGACCAGAGAGTATAAACATTTGCCCAGTTTCTGGTTTGCTGTTTATTCCTTCACCAGCTGTTTGTCAAGTGCCTGTCACATGCCAGGCACTGTGGTCAGTGCTGGGAACATCTTGGTGAAGGAAGCAAAGATCTCCCCTGACGGAGCTTATGTTCTCGAGGAAGCTCCACAGTGGAGAAATTCCTAAACAGAAGGATGCTGTTCTTCCCAAGTGCAATCATTTTCATTTGAGAATTTAATTCCTTCTGGCTTCTTTGACATTAGTAAGACTTCTGATTTATAGGTGTGTATTAGTTTGTTTAGGCTGCTGTAGCAAATGTTATGGACTGGGTGGTTCCAACAACAGAATTGCACTTTCTCACCATTCTGGAGGCTAGAAGTGCAGGACTGAGGTGCCACAGGTTTGGTTTCTCCTGAGGCTTCTCTCTGTAGCTTGCAGATGGCTGCCTTGTTGCTGGGTCCTCACATGGCCATCCCTTGGCCTGTGCCCTAATTTCGAGACAGGGTCTCACTCTTCTTTAAAGGTTCTGTCTCCAAACACAGTCACACTGGATGTTAGGGCTTCAACGTATAAATTTTGGGGGGACACAAATCAGTCCGTAGCAAGGAGCGAGCGTTCTTTTAGACTTTGAGCCATGCATTGTTTAGTGATAGTCAAATGCATTTATCTGCTGGAATCTTCTCTGGAGGCTCCCCAGCGGTATCCAATTTCACTGGTGAAATTCATTCTATTATCTCTCAAGGTAGAAGCTGTGTTAGCCTAGGAAAGGCTAAGGAAGAGAAACTTTTTTTCTTTTGCTAGAGATAGTCAGAAATATCATTTGTCATTCTGAATGTCATTTTGACAATTTATGGCACAGGAGAGTCTGTATCTAGACTTCTACGCCGGCATCAATCAAAGTTGCTGTGCCCCCACACCCTCCCTATTAAAGTGGTTGAATTTGAGCTGACACTTTCATATGCCCTCATTTTCCTAAGGGAAAAGAGACCCCCAGCCCATGTCCCACACCTGATCCAAATTCCGTGCCTTCCCCGACTGCCTGATGGCCTTGTGTGGGGGGCCCTTCTCCCCACTCTTGGTGCCTGACTGCCCCTCCCAATCTCAGGACCCTGCTACTAGCGCCGGGGATCCTGTGTCAGCTGCCTCCTTGGCTCCAACCTAACTCTCGAATACTGATAAAAATAGCCCCGGCTTGCTGAGTGATTCCTGCGTGTGTGCATTCTCTCATTCAGTCCTCACGGTTCCAGGAGGCCCAGACCCTGCGGCTAATAGAAAACGATGGTGGGGTGCTTGCTGTGCACCGCACCCCAGGCCGAGCGCTTTTTATATATGAACGCTCTCAACTCCCCACTGCCGTTGAGTGGGGAAACTGAGGCCAGAGAGGCGAGGTAACTAGTTCTGTTCACCAGAACTCTATCTGCCCCTCAGCAGAATGCAGATGTTCTCTCAGGGGACTGGTGCACAGACTCCGCTACTGGAAGGGGAGCTGCCCCAAGGTGGGGGATCTGGTCTTCCCACATCTTCAGCATCACCCAGCAGAGTGAAAAGCCTGTTGGATGAAATCACTGAGCTTCCTCAGTTCCTGAGCCCGCAGGGGCATAGGTCTGAGATCCCTACCTCTCTCCTGAGTCTCTGCTGGAGAAACACTGATTATCCTGATCTCAGTAGCTCGCTTCCAGGCTCCAGGATTGTGGACAGAAGAACACATGCATCTCTGATACTTACAACATTGACACTGTAAGGACCGTAACGATCATCAGACGACATCATTCCATAGACAAAGCTGGGGCCCCTGTCAGCAGAGTATGGGGAAATCTCAATCTTCAGATTCACAAAGATCCAGATTCCAGCTCCTGCTCTGTCACTGCCTTGCAGGCTTGGGCAGGTCGCTTCAGGGTTTGTAAGTGTAAAACGGATGGCGGAATCTCCCGTGAAGCATGTAGTCATGTATTCAGCAAATAGGATTGCATGAGACGGCCCTTGGGAGGTGCCCAGCACATGCAGCTGCTCAGCAGTTGTTGGCTGTGTCTAGAGATCCAGGCTTGCAGTCTCTAGAGACGTGTTGGAAGTTCCTCGGGGTACACAGGGCTCAGCCGCAGAGTCAGGCTGGAAGCTTCCTGGGCATCACAGCAGGTGAAGGAAGGGAGGCGATGCAGCCACAGTGCATATGGGCAGCCACAAGACACCAAGGCCTGAGTCACCCCTCCCCACCTGATGCTGTGCAAGGTCTTGCTGTCAGCCTCAGTTGCTTGGGTAACTCAGTCACGGAAGCTACCGCTCTTCTCTCCTCTTGGTGTTGGTTGATTTACCTGAAGCCACGTTCAAGGGACTGCTCCAGGTGTTTTCCTGGCCGAACTCCTGCCCATGCCTGCCTTTGCCAGGGCCCAGGATCACAGCCCCCTGAGGAGCAGCTCTGCTTTTATTGATTGATTAACTGAGATGGAGTCTCGCTCTGTCCCCAGACGGGAGTGTTGTGGCTCCCTCTCGGCTCACTGCAACCACTGAACCTCTGGGTTCAAGCAATTCTTCTGCCCCAGCCTCCCAAGTAGCTGGGATTACAGGTGTGCATCACCATGCCTGGCTAATTTCTTATTTTTGTAGAGACAGGGTTTTACCATGGTGGCCAGGCTGGTCTCAAACTCCTGACCTTAGGTGACCTACCCACCTTGGCCTCCCAAAGTGCTGGGATTACAGGCATGAGCCACCATGCCTGGCCTGCTTTAATTTTTTTTTAAGCTGCATAAAGTTACTACTTTTCCATCAAATCTTTAAGATACCCAGAGCTTTCTGTTGGCAATGGTGGGTGCAGTGTGCCCAGCCCTGGGGAGGGGGATGCATGTTTGCTGTTTGTCTTGGATTCAGAGCTCCTTCTAACTCCACCCAGTGGTCACTTAGATTAGGGTTCTTGGGAGGGGAGAGGTCGCTAGGTATAGTAGAGAAACAATCAGAAAAGCTCTTCCCCTTCCCCTTCATTCAGGGGGAGCTTCAGGTCAGTTCTATGTAGGAAAAAATGCCCACACTCCAGAGAAGGGGAACGGGTGTTCTGTCCAGGCCGGGTCCCAGCTTGCTGCTGTGTGCCGGCGTGTAAGCCTTGTGCCCTCTTGGCCCCTTTCCCACTTGTGTGCGATGTAGCCACAATGTGAGGACCTGAAACCCTGGGACCCCTCAGAACTTTTCCTTGGTTCCTCCTGAGATGCCCCCACCAGGACTGCCTTCAGACTTCCCCATGCATGGACATTAACAGGGGAAAGGCCAGACTGCTTGGGCAAAGCGTCATAGAGTTAGCATTGGTAGAAGTTAAACTAGATTACAAAAATTAGGAAAGACTTAGGGACATGTAAGTGGAATTTAATACACCCCGGACCTGGATGTTCCTCAGAATGCCAGCCTCAGCCTTCTTCCTGCAGAACTCACTAGAAGGCCACGAGGAGGGAGCAAGGCACTTGGGAGGCAGGATGGCGTGGCATCCACAACTGGGTGGGGTGCTGGGCTTTGGTAAAAGGATGCAAGGTCTTCCTTCCTGGTGTTCTCACCATGTTCACCTGTTCAGCCCGTTCCCCGCCCCTCCCCCCTTTTTTAAAGAGACAGGGTCTTGCTTTGTCACCAGGCTGGAGTGCATGTCATGACCTTGGCTCCCTGCAGCCTCCACCTCCTGGGCCCAGGCAATCCTCCTACCTCAGCCTCCCAAGTAGCTGGGACTACAGGTGCACGCCACCACACCTGGCTAATTTTAATTTTTTTTATAGAGATGGAGCCTCACTATGTGGCCCAGGCTGGCCTTGAACTCCTGGACACAAACAGTCCTCTTGCCTTGGCTTCCCAAAGTTCTGGGATTATAGGCGTGAGCCATTGTACCTGGTCTCCTGCCTCTTCTTTCCCTCCCCAGCTCTCCTCCTCTTCCTCTCTCTCCTCATTTTCCTTCATACTCTGCCTTGCTTTCCAGACAACCAACCTGTAGATGCTGTTTCTCTGCCTCCAGCCCTCAGCCTCTGTCTCCTGCCCTGGGCTTGTCTGTTCCCCTGTCCTCAGCTTCCTTGCCTTTCCCTGCCTGAGCCTTCCCTCCATGAAGTGCCCAGCCTCTTACAACCTCTCTGGCCTCTATCTTCCAGGTCACCCAGACCCCAGGCCACATATGTGAACGGCAGCCTCCCAACCACACAACACATCAAGCAGGAGTCCCTGCCCGACTACCAAGCCATGGCAGAGGCCCGTACCTCCCTGTCTGCCCACTGTCGGGCCCCGCTGGCCACTGGCTTGCACCCAGACCTGGACCTCCCGGGCCGAAGCCTCGCCACCCCTGCGCCTTCCTGCTACCTTATGGGCAGAGAACCCAGCTCTGGCCTGGGCCCCCAGCCTGAGGCCCACCTCCCTGAGGGCAGCCTGAAGCGCTGCTGCCTCTTGGGCCTACCCCCAACTTCCTCGGTCTCCTCCTCACCCTGTGCCTCCTCTGATGTCACCTCCATCATCCGCTCCTCCCAGACGTCTCTGTTCACCTGTGTGAATGGACTCCGGAGCCCCCCTCTGCCAGGAGACCTGGGGGGCCCTTCCAAACGGGCCCGGCCTGGCCCTGCATCCACGGACAGCCATGAGGGCAGTTTGCAAGTGGAAGCCTGCCGGAAGGCGAGCTTCCTGAAGCAGGAGCCCACAGATGAGTTTTCAGAGCTCTTTGGGCCTCACCAGCAGGGCCTGCCACCCCCCTATCCCCTGTCTCAGTTGCCACCTGGCCCGAGCCTTGGAGGCCTGGGGCTGGGCCTGGCAGGCAGGATGGTGGCGGGGCGGCAGGCGTGCCGCTGGGTGGACTGCTGTGCAGCCTATGAGCAGCAGGAGGAGCTGGTGCGGCACATCGAGAAGAGCCACATCGACCAGCGCAAGGGTGAGGACTTCACCTGCTTCTGGGCGGGCTGTGTGCGCCGCTACAAGCCCTTCAACGCCCGTTACAAGCTGCTCATCCACATGCGGGTGCACTCGGGCGAGAAGCCCAACAAGTGCATGGTGAGTTCTCGTCGGCCGCCAGGCCTCACCCCAGCCCCTCGGGCAGAGCCGCACCCACCCCAGAGCCCCAGGAGAGCCACCTGGGACTCCTCCCTCGGGCTGGCTGAGATCCCTGTGGTGGAGGAGGGAAGGACCAATGCTGTAGATGTGGCTGCTGGTCAAGACGGTCAGTGCCCCTGTCACTTGGGCACCATGGCAGAGGGGCCCCTCACACTCAGCAGGTGCCCAGTCCCCTGCCCTGAGACATTAGATATATTTTAGCACGCCACAGGGCCCGGTCCTGTGTGCACATGTGATTGGAGATCAAAGCAGGTGTGGCCAGCCTCTCGTTTTACATGTTTGTGCTCCATGTCCCACCTGCTGGTGGCCAAATGAGATGTGGAGAACAGGCTCTCCTCCAGTGCTGGGCCCTCACCAGCATCCATCCCAGTGAGGTTCCCTGGCATTCTGGTGCTGCCTTCAGCCTTGGTGTCCATCAAGGAACAGTGGGGCCTCGTAGGCACCCGGCTCGAAGGCTGCAGGTCCCCAGGGTAGGCTTTGGGCTGGGGCCCAGGATTACTAGCTAAGGCCGTGGCTAGTACCAGCGGTGTTCCTCTGGAGTTGAGACAGGTTCCCGGGCACAAGCATTATGTGTATGTGTGCGTGCACATGTGCTCGCACACACACACACGCGCGCGTGCATATTAACTGTGGGCACCCAGGCCTCCAGGCCTTCTGATGGGTCATTTCTGTGACAGGTCATTTCTGCCCTGTCTGTAGGGGGAAAACTGTATCAGAGGCTAGGAGAATAGTCTTACACCCTGATACACTCAGCCTAACTGCTGTGCTACCCCTGAGGCCCAGCCCTCCCACCAGGAGAGGTGCCTGCCCAGGAATGGCAGAGCTGGACCTCAGGGTGTGCTTGGTGATGAGAAGCATAGGCCACCAAGGTCACCGCTCAGCCAGCCTGGCCATCAGGGCAACAGCATGGCTGGTGTGCTGGGGCTCGTGCCATAGCCAAAGTCAAGCTGTTTCACACTCACACATTGACACTGTCACTGGACACCCCCTACGGAGCGCTTGATCTGGGAAGGGACATAGTGTCCCCACTCAGAGTCCAGAGTGGCATTTTAGGGGCCAGGAAGGAGGCAGGACATATTGGCAGTCAGCAGCATAAACTCTATCCTCGGGCAGGGTGCTTGCCCCTGGGCCCCACCCACCTGTGGAGCTGGGAGCTGGGCATCCAACAGGATCTGCTTCTGTAGCTTCAGGAGGCTGGATCTTGAAGGAGGAGAAAGAGTTCGCTTTGTAAACAAGTGAGCAGCAGTGAATGGCTTGTGCCAAGGGGAGGCAGGAGGAGTGAGCCTGTGGTGAGCGCTCTGGTGTGTGGAGAGGCGCGGGGGAGAGTCTGCACTGCGCAGGCTGAGACTTTGACTTTATTGTGTGCTTTTGGGCTGAGAGGTTGCTGGAAGGAGGCCTGGGGGCTGGGCCAGCCCCTGGTGATACCCTGGCTTGTTTGGGGTCCTGTGGCACATGCCCTTTACTGGAAGGAGATGACCAACAGACAGCACATAGACCAGGTCAGGGCTGCAGGGAGACAGCTGGGCCCGCATCTCTCCCCAAGACCCTGGAGCTGACAGCTGCTGAGCCGTTCTCCTTATTCTCTCCTGTGGGTGAGCCCATGGGTGCCCGTGGGGACCTAGGTGGGGGCTCTGTGGCCCGAAGGAAGACTCCACAGGACACTGGCTTACACCTGGCTTCTGCCTGTGGTGAGTGGTCCTCTCACAGTGGGGCCTCTGTGTGGAACCACAGCATGCAGAGGAGTCTCCACGCCAGACATTCAGGAACTTGGAGGGGATCTAGGCCTTCCCAGCCCACTTTCTAGCTTAGGAAACAGGGCCCAGAGAGCGGTCAGAGGGGCCTGGGTTACTCAGTGCAGACTCAGGTCTCTCTCTCCAGGGGCTAGGCTGCCAGGATCTCACTTGATTCCACAGACTCCACAGGACACTGGCTTACGCTGGCTCAGGCCTGACTCTGGTGACCCAGACCTGGACCTGCGGTGGCCCTTGCCCTGGGGACACTCATGCTCAGGGATGGGTGGGAGATGAGTGGCAGGTCCTGGGATGGAGTTTGCTTAGGCCCAGGGAGGGAAGGCTCACAAGGGCTTCATGGAGGACGTGTTAGCAAGCTGTGTCTACACTCACCTATCAGTATTATTTAATCCTTACAAGTCCTGCAACACCAAGGGTTTTTACAGATGAAGAAACAAAGGTTCGGCAGGGTCTGGCCGGCCTTCCACTTGCTCCCGTGAGAACACTTGTTCTTACCTCTTCCAGGGTTTAGGATTGTGGTGATGATAATACCAGCAAGCAGCTTCCGAGTACAGACTGTGCACAGGTGCTCTTCTAGGCGATAACTCCACCTGGTCCTCAACACAACGCTGTGGGGGAGATACTGTGAACCCCCGTTTCACAGATGAGGAAACTGAGGCTCGGGAAGATTTCATAATTTGCCCCAGGTCACGCAGCTAGTTGGAAACAATCAATAACAACAGTTATAATAAGAATAAAGGCTAAGAATTATAATGGTAATAAAAAATAACTTGCTCAAGGCTACACAGCTGGTAAGCACTGGAATGGAGCCTGAGCCAACATCTTTCTAACCCGCAGTGCTCTTGTTTGTGTAGATCTGCTAAACTGACTATTCTCTGGGCTGTTAGGGCTGGCCCTGCTGGGTGCCACCATCTGGAGACAGCAGCAGTGATCTGGGCTTCGGAGGCTTCTCAGAGCCCCCTCTGGGATCCTCTTGCCTGCGGTGGGGTGGGCATGCACCCCCTCCTCCATGATGCTGGCACAGTGGGCAACCCAGGGGAAGGGGCGGGCCTCAACCAGCACCCAGATAAATAAAATCTCCCTTCCCTGTTAAATTATTAATTCCTCATGACAGGCCTCTGCTACCATGCACTGTATTAGACAATGGAATTTTGGAACCAGAGCCCCTGGAGAACAGGAAATAGATGAGACATTTTGATTGAAGAGTAAATGGCCCACTAAAATAGCAGTTAATCCTTTCATTATCTTTCCAGCAGCCGTTTCCACAGTTCTCTCATGAGGTAAGCCTCCCCCACCCCATCCGACTGGAACACTCGCGTTCTCGCAGCTGGCTTACATTTAGCCAGCGGAGCCTCTGCTCCGGCACCAGGCAGGCCTCGGTGTGCCGACAGGAGCCCAGCTCCCCTCTGCCTGGGCATCTTAGTCTTTAGGCTGAGCCTGGGACTAGGGACTCACTGGACCCCAGGGTCAATGGCACCATCCATCCCCCACCCTGCCCTCTGCACGGCCCATGCACGCTGTCCAGAGGAAGCTCCCTAATCTTTTTGCAATATCCTGTTATATTTCTTACGTTGCCCGAGTTGTCTCAGCCTTATTAAATGTGGGGCTTCATCTGTGTTACGATAACAAGGTTACGCTTCCAACCCAAATACTGACGCGACGCCTCCAAGACGTTAACTTTGAACAGATTAGTTTCATGCTTTCTTAGGTTGGTTCTCCCAGACGGCCGGAATTCTGATTGTCTGAGACTGCAGAAATTAGTAGACTGTAGCTTGCTTTTCTTCACGTCATGAAGGAGATAGGCAGAGTGAAAAGGAAAACTTGAGACAATGCCCTTCTCTACCTTGGGTTTTATAAAACAATAGTCATGAGAAGAGTTCCTTCCTTCGGTGAAGAGTTTTACCAAAGCTGTGAGCACAGTCCAGAAGGCATGTGCAGAGGTGAAAAGCCGAGGTCTGGAGTCCCACAGACCTGGGACCCAGCCTGGTTTAGTCACTCGGCAGCTGTGTGGCTTCGTGCGGGTGACTTACCCTTTTTGAACCATAGCATACTCAATTGTGTAATGCAGCAATAATAGTACTTGGCTTTTAGGGTTGTGATTAGGGATAAAAGAGCTGAAAAGAGATGATAGAAAGGAAGGTGCTTCCTTCCTCATCACTCGTCAGCATTGATCTCAGGTGACGTGTTCAGTAGCCCTAGGGCTTACAACAGGGTTATTTACAGCTGATTTACAGATGAAACTGTGGCTCAAGAGAGCCAGTCGATGGATGGCAGAGCCTGGACTTGAGGATCTAGCAGCCTCTGCTGTCAGTGGGGTAGGCAGGGCAGTGTGTGGGCAGTTGCTTGGGCAGGGCAGGCACTCCAGCCTTGCCATTCGCTGTCTGCAGGGATCCCTGATTCTTTGTATCTTGTTCATTGACAGTCACTTGCAGATCTCCTGCTCTGAGTCAGACAGTGTCTGCGAGGGGGTCTGGAGCCAGGCCGGGGCAGCTGGACCTGTGGCACAGGAGGCCCATGTGTGTCCTCCCGGTCCTCATGAGCTGCTGCAGTCTCAGGCTGGGTTTGCATGCTGCCCAGCTTCCTCCGGCCACTGCAGCTACATTGGCCACTGCTCTCCATTCCTTATGCCCCTCTCCACTGTTTGTCAGCCTGTCCCAGGTGCCTTTGAACTTAGGGCCGGAGAAATCTATCTGGTTGAAAGCTGAGTATTATGGATTGGCCTTAACTAGCCAAGGAACTCAGAACGCTAGTCACCTGGCTGGACCTCCTGGGAGGGCCCTGCCCTTTTAGCCTGAGCCAAACTTATAGTCATTCCCCATAATCCTGGGGCTTCTGGCTCTCCATTTTGCCTTGTTCCAAACCTTTACCCCCCTTCCCCAACCCCACAACCCCTGAGAAACAAAACCCTGGGTGCTGGGAGGGACAGGGGAGGTAGAGTTGCTCCTTACTGAGATTCAGAGATTCTTTTATCCTGGCTCAATGCAAGCCAGTCCCTGTCTGTTGTTTTGACCACCTAGCTGGGCATGGTGGTACATGCCTGTAGTCCCAGCTACGTGGGAGGCTGAGGCAGGAGGATCACTTAAGCCAGGGAGTTTGAGGCTATAGTGAGCTATGATCATATCACTGCACCCCAGCCTGGGTGACAGAGCAAGACCCTGTCTCAAAAACAAAAACAAAAACCTCTGAGGC